ATTCCTGGAAGCTGAAAACATCCCAGTTCTTGCATGGCCAGCATACTCACCGGACATGTCACCCATTGAGCATGTTTGGGATGCTCTGGATCGGCGTATACGACAGCGTGTTCCAGTTCCTGCCAAAATCCAGCAACTTCGCACAGCCATTGAAGAGAAGTGGACCAACATTCCACAGGCCACAATCAACAACCTGATCAACTCTATGCGAAGGAGATGTGTTGCACTGCGCGAGGCAAATGGTGGTCACACCAGATACTGACTGGTTTTCGGACCCCCCAATACAGTAAAACTGCACATTTTAGAGTGGCCTTTTATTGTGGCCAGCCTAAGGCACACCTGTGCAATAATCATGCTGTCTAATCAGCATCTTGATATGCCACACCTGTGAGGTGGATGGATTATCTCGGCAAAGGAGAAGTGCTCACTAACACAGATTTAGACAGATTTGTGAACAATATTTGAGAGAAATAGGACTTTTGTGTACATAGAAAAAGTCTTAGATCTTTGAGTTCAGCTCATGAAAAATGGGGGCAAAAACAAAAGCGTTGCGCTTATAATTTTGTTCAGTGTACTATTGGTCACTATCATTCGTACTGTGTTTGCTACGCTGTTGAGTTTGTTAAGATGTACTTTTGTTTATACTTTGCTAAGGGCATCGCACAATGATTAAAAGCAATATGTAAAGTAAACATTTTATTAGCAACTTGTTAATTGCATAATATGGCTCGCTGGTCATGTGATGCCAACATGGCGGAGCCCATAAGGAGGCAACCCGCTCCATGTAGTAAATAAACAACTTCTGATAGGAGAACTGATAAGCATAGAAATTCGGTGCCATTTCATTTCCACGCGAATATAAATAAATCCTTTGTGTGAAGTTTTTAATTGGCAAAATTACTGAGAGCACCTTTTTAGTTTTTCTGGCACTAAATAGACCTTATATAGCCACACCTCTTTTCAGTGCCGAGTTTGTTGTCTTCTGTCTTCCAGATTGTATTTCCACAGCATGAAGTTAAGATCTTACGAATTTATGAATGAACCACTCATTTTAAATCTTCTCAGTCTACTAACATTTGTAATCACATCCACTTCAAATATTACAATGCGTATGATAACTTTTGTTTAACTTAATGCTTATGATAACTTTAACACTGTTGCCGTGGGTTGAAGCGACCCCAATAACGTGATATTTAGCCCCTGGAATGCAAATTGTACCAGAGGAACCCCCGCCATAAAACGTGTTCTTTTTGAATGGTGATTTAACGCTACGTTGTCACTAGGGCTGGACGATATGACCAAAATTGATATCACGATATATATACATTCATATAAAACACCCGCGCCGTGTTATGATTTTGAAACGTGCAGCGCTCATGTTTATTCAACGAAGTCAAACGGCACAAATAAATCAATGTATGGGAAACTGGTAATGTATATCGAAATATCGGAAATGTGTTTAAAAATCATATCACCGTTACTGAAAAAAATTATATCGCGATACATATTGATATTGAATTATTGTCCAGCCCTAGTTGTCACCTAGTTGGTGAGACTCAATGCTAAAAATAAATAAACAATGCCCCCGTCTTTTACTCTCACAATGAGCTTATCATACTCGTTTGCTACATTAGTACGGCCCTATGATTTCCGCGATACAGAAAATGCTGACGGAATCGCAGAATTCAGTCATAAAAATGGAATTTACTGTATAACATGGAATTTCACAGAATTTGTCATGTGTTTATGCATATATATTCTGTTTATACTGTATTCTATATACAGTACCAATCAAAAGTCTTTTGACTGGTACTGTACAATAATATACACAAATAATATCAGCCGATATATCGATATCAGACATTTTTTACTCCCTAATACCGGTATCGGCTCCCAAAAACCCATATCGGTCAGGCTCTACTAATTACTCTTCAATAGTGATGCTACAGAGCTACTGCAAAAACAGAAGTTAAAAGACAAAATTCTAAAGAGGTCTGCGTGCTAGTTTCTCTGACGCAAAAGGTATATATCAGCTTTTTGGGGGGAAAAAGTTAAACATAGATCCCAACAATAATCAATCAAATACCAAAATTAAAAAGCCAAACAGATCAGACCAAAAAAGCTGAATTAAAGGGCCATTTTCACCAAAGATGATAACTAGTAGCCTATAACAATAACTATAAAGTAATAATAATTGTTCTAATTCTATGAGAATAGAAAACTATAACGATAAGGACACAGAGGAATTATATTATTGGAATGATGATTTTTTTTCCAGCTGATGAACAAACTAACATTGAAAGCCAATCAGAATCCACCATTCTTAATCCTGTTAAAGTCAAGTGGATTCTGATTGGCTGTCAATGTCTTTATAGTTCACCTGTTACAAAAATTCATGTCCTTGATGTGGACGGACCTTTATAAACTCCTTTCTGTTCAGAAGCTCATGGAATTTAACACACTCCTGCTCCTCCCTTTTAAACCCACGGATTTGTCAGCAACTTTGAGTGGTTAATATATCGTGATTGGGCCATGATCCACTGGAGCAGGGCTGTCCAAACTCGGTCCTGGAGGGCCGGTATCCTGCAGAGTTTAGCTCCAACTTGCCTCAACACACCTGACTGGAAGTTTCTATGCCTAGTAAGAGCTTGATTAGCTGTTTCAGGTGTTTAATTAGGGTTGGAGCTAAACTCTGCAGGATACCGGCCCTCCAGGACCGAGTTTGGACAGCCCTGCACTGGAGTCTTTCAAACTTAAACATTTCAATTTCTCTAATATCTAACAGTTTCCAGTTACATATAACAAGTAGAAGTGGGAGCAGTTGATGACAACTCCCTATAATTACACTTTCTTGCATACAGTAGTAACTGTATGAATGACACTAATGAACTACACTTACCAAGCTAGTTCGATTACTGTCAAATTAGAACATTAATGACTGGCATAAAAGCATTCGGCTGACAATTCTAGAGGATTTTAGAGACTCTTAGCACTAGTTGGTTGGTTAGCAAGTACTAACTTCATTTACAAATCAGCCAGTGACGATATGAAGGCGTCCAAATTGTGTTTAAAATAATTTCCGTCAAACTACAGCCACTTATTTGATTAAGAATGCTACTAAGCATTAAAGGTAACCATGCTATGATTATTAGCTGGCTTTCAATGGCCTCGCTGTAGACTGATTCATTTTAGCTTTAGCCGTAGACGTGCTAACACTTGCCTGTCTACAACGCCTGTCTACGTGATGCGAAAACGTTGTTTTACGTTAAAGTGGACGTTGCCTTTTGAATATCGACTCGGAGTTTTAATAATAACGGTCAACTTGGACCAAACGCACCCTCGTTCCGTTCTAAAAATACCCCAGAGCCATATGAGCTGAACGCAGGCGAGACCCTCGCGCGGCCCGTACACGCTCCTGTCCTATTAGCTAGCGCTTCAGAAAATTCTTGGCAAAAAGCCCCAGTGCTACTTTGCATAAAGTAGTTATAAAGTAGTTGTGTGCCGCGTAAGTACAACGTTAACTGTTATAAATAATATCTGACCAACATCTTACCTCCGTGAGCCCTAAACCGAATCCCCGGTTCCAGTTATGGCGATTCCAGCGCCCCGAGAACAGAAGTTGAGCGGCCTCCTCTTCAGTTTGAGCATGCGCAAAGCGCTTACACACTGCTTTGAATTTTGGTTCTTGACAGCCAGTCAACAGATTCTCAGTGTAAACATAGTTGTTGATGTATTGCTTTCCAAATCTAGAACTAGTGTTTCGAGCAGCAGGTGAATCCAAGAATAGTTTACTTTAAACACTCACAAGTATTGTCCCTTAGAACCCATATTTGTGCAGTTTCTCTTCTGTTTACAATCTGTGGTTGTAAACTCTCTTAAAATTACATGTGCAGAAAATTTCATTTTAGTTCAATTAGTCTCACAAATGCAGTGCTTCTTTGCATTTACAAGGTGGAAAATTGAGCTCTTGCTCATAATAAATGACATGTATTACAAATCAACAAAATAAAACTGACAAGCAAATACATATACATGTACCATTTATTGACAATAATTATTGAGTAATCTGTAGTGGACAATACAAATTAATATAGCTTTGTTGATGTAGATGTAAAAGGGTAAATATAACACGCATGACAGTTCCTTTTTAATAAAAAAAGCAAAAAATAATATGTTAAAGGAGCACGCAGAGACATGAGTCTATTTAAAAAAAAAATTTATTATTTAATTATTGTGTTATTCTTGATATGTGATTTATCCACTCACAAGTATTGTCCCTTAGAACCCATATTTGTGCAGTTTCTCTTCTGTTTACAATCTGTGGTTGTAAACTCTCTTAAAATTACATGTGCAGAAAATTTCATTTTAGTTCAATTAGTCTCACAAATGCAGTGCTTCTTTGCATTTACAAGGTGGAAAATTGAGCTCTTGCTCATAATAAATGACATGTATTACAAATCAACAAAATAAAACTGACAAGCAAATACATATACATGTACCATTTATTGACAATAATTATTGAGTAATCTGTAGTGGACAATACAAATTAATATAGCTTTGTTGATGTAGATGTAAAAGGGTAAATATAACACGCATGACAGTTCCTTTTTAATCAAAAAAGCAAAAAATAATATGTTAAAGGAGCACGCAGAGACATGAGGCTATTTAAAAAAAAAAATTATTATTTAATTATTGTGTTATTCTTGATATGTGATTTATCTAATTACATAACAATATGCAAACTATTACAGTATTAAGGTATTTCTATACCCTAGTGCTGTGCTTGGTTTATATATGTAGTGTGCTATAAAAAGATTGGAAATGTGCTTGATGTAACAACTGTCATCACTTAGGCCCTGCCCTTTTTACATTAGCCACAGAGAGACGCTGTAGCACAACCTCGGTGTTTAAAGCTTGAGCTCGTAATTCACCCTCCTTTGTCTGAAAAGCTACACCGAGATTCCAGTCCAGAGTTTCAGAATCCAGTGAGGGATCGATAGTTTTGAAGGCAGTCCTGAGGTGCTCTGCATCCACTTCCCTACATTGATGATATACAAAACAGGACAAAACTATGACAATACTATTATTGAAATCTAAAAAGGATTAGTTAAATGTGGCTTTTACTTGGAAATCTTTAATAACATTTTGTAAACAATGGACAGATGATGATCTCTCACCCTTTGCCTTCTAGTTGCATTCTCAGCTCGCTGATGTACTGGAGTCTCTCAGCAGTAGCTTGTTTTTTAACTAGACTCAGGAATTCTTTGTGTCTTCCATCAGTGTCCTGGAGTGAGAACAATGTGCACAAAACGTGATGCTCTAATATATTTATATATGCAGTGCCATTTAAAAGTTTGTTTTTTTTTTTTGAAGAAATTAATACTTTTATTCAGCAAGGATGAATTAAATTGTTCAAAAGAGACAGTAAAGACATTTATACATTTACAAAAGATTTATTTTTTTAAATAAATTCTGGTCTTTAAACTTTACATTCAGCAAAAAATATAAAAATGTATCATGATTTCGAAAAAAGAAAACATGTGATCACTGATCACGTGACACTGAAGACTGAAGTAGTGGCTGCTGAAAATTCAGCTTTTCCATGAAAGGAAATTTTTTTTTTTTTACATTTATATAAATATTTATAGTTTTCAAATAGAAATAGTCATTTTAAATCATAATCATATTTCCAATATTATTGTTTTTAAATGTATATTCAAAGAATTAAATGCAGTTTTGGTGAACATAAGAGACTTTTCAAAAACATTCAAATATCTCATCAAACCAAACTTTTAAATGGTAGTGTATACATTCAACTTCAATTAGGTTATAGCCAAAACATTCAAACTGACCTCTGTATAAAGTGTCTGATAAGCAATGCGCACTCCATTACTCTTCAGCTCTGTCTTAGCCACCGCCAACAGCTCCTCTATGTCTTGATCTGCCTTCAGAGGGAAGGCCTTCTTCAATGCATCACTGAAAATTAGCACACATAATGTAATAATAAAAATAATCACAATACATTTTCAACTGAGGAATTCAGAGTTTTTGCTCACCTAAATTCTAAGGCAGTTAGTGATCCGCATTGTGTTGTGTCACTTTGAATTAAAACCTTGAGCAAGTGAGACAGCAGCTGAGTCTGTCCGTGGTAGATACTCTCATCAACCTGCCACAAAATTGCAGTCAGCAACATTTAATATATATATATATATATATCCCAATAAACATTTGATATTTTGGGGGGCAGCTGAAAAACCTGCTTTCATTGGACTTCATTGTTCATCAGTGCTATGGACATTTACACAAATTATTATTTTAGATTAAGCGCAAACCTTCCCAATCAAGATGTCATTAAAAAGGCAAATGAGATCATCTTCAAGATTGTTCTGAATGCTTTCCATCAAGCTGTAAGCCCACTCTCCTGCCTTATCCTTATAATGTTCCACAAGATAGCTGTGAAGAAACATCTGCAGATCTCTGGAGTCATCATTCTCCATTAAAGAAAAATGTGTGGAGAAATACAGCATTAAATACTAGTGACTGTTTAAACAAATCAAGACAGGATATTGGTATGCCATACATACCTTTTCATTCTCTGAAGTTTTTTCCCTCCAGATGTCTTTAATAACTCTGACTACATCTGCTTTTTTGATCTTAAGATTCTTAAGTTTCCCCTCATACTGTAGATAAATGGGGACGTCACTGGATGTGCCCTGTGAAAACAACTTTACTTCAGCCTAGCAAAGCTGGTGTAGCTCATTTATAGCCTATGTTTAGCATCTTGTTTTTAATTTATTATTATATGTAGGCTAAATAGATAAAAATAGATAAAAATCAAACTTATTTCGTCAAAGAGATTATTTTCTGCAATAATCCAAAAGCCAATTGAAAAATCCTATTGGGTTTTTATTGAGAGAACCAGGGTAATACTAACTTTCATGCTGGCCTAAAAATATGCATCACTGCAGTGCTCTATTGCTATTTTTTATGTTAAGAACACTTACAAGACCAGTGAAGAACTCATTTTGGCCATTCATCTGCTGCAGCAAGATCTCCAGCCTCTTTTGGCTGGATTGACCTTCAAAGAGCTCTTTACATCGCTCACTGCCTCCTAGTATGTCTACAACACACATTACACAAGATTATCTCAAACATAAGCTTAACTGCACTATATAAAGAACAGATACGACAGCCTGGACAGTTCAGATACTGTTACCTGAACATTGTTCCCAGTTTGGTCTGGGAGTTGTAACAATGTGTTTGTTATCAGAGCCATGTTGCAGCACAGACTGATTGGAGTGTAACACAGCAGGTGCTGACTGTTGATTAGAATAATGTTTAGTAATCAGATGAGTTTACAATTATTTATTTATCATTATAGACCTCTTTGAAGTCTGTTTCTCTGCTCAAGTACCTGACGATGAACCTCAAGCAGCGTGTCATACTCAGACTTTAACTGGTCAAAGTCTGTCTGTAAGGTTTCCAGCTAAAACATGGAAAGATATCACATTAAATATTATAATCAATTACATATCATTATTTCATGCTTGATGTTTAAGAGTTACTCTTTTGGGTGTTTGATTCATTTAATGCATTCTTGCTGAACAGAATTATTCATTAAAAAAAACTGACCCCAAACTTTTGAATCGTAGTGTAGTAGATAAATAAAAACAGATAAAATTAACAAAGTAATATAAAAGATAAAATATTTAATCCTACCATACATAAACTCAAAATATTTTGCATGGTAAACTGGTTGATTCATTATCTTGGACATAAATTAAAAATAATACATCTATTTTTCTCCATACCTTTATTAAAGTCTCCTCATGCATATGATTCCGGTTATCCCAGTCCCGTCGTGGGACCACATCACTGTATTCGGCTTGGAGGCGGTTAAGCTCAACTTGGACTTTGGTAAGGTCCTCTCTACACACCTGCAAAGCCATTTTCACCACCACAGGATCCTCAGATTCATCCTCTGAGAGGAACAAGCAAAGTTTCTGTCAAATCACCTCCTCACTACTCAACCTCCTGACTACTGCAACTCACTCCTGGCAATCAAACCTCTGTAAAAAAGCTCCTGCCTGGCTAATATTCATCATCTTCAAAAAAAAAAATAAAAAATCCTGCCTGGCTGTATTTAACGACTTTTGATGAGGTCCACACTGATTCCTTTGCTCCGTCCAGTCATCATCAGCAGAAAAAACCCTCTCTATGAATGCGTTGGTTGTTATTTTCCCCACACTAGCTATAACATGACTGCTGCACTAATGGATTTTTAAATAGCAACCACATTTTTTAAAATTATATTTCTTAATGTGGTATTGTAATTTCAGGTAAAAAAACTAAATAATACACACAAAATTGAAATGCGGGACACTGCTTACGTTTTGCAGGAAGAGTGACAAAGCTCTCAAATTTTAAGACAGGTGGTCATCCTACCACTGGCTCCTTCTTCTCATACACTAAATTCCAGCAGTAAAAATGTTTGTTTCCATGTTTGTTTATTTTTTTCAGACTCAACTACTAATCATCATTCGTGTAACCTTCATTATAACCTTCATTATTATCATCATGTTCAGTGTCTTGGGTAGAGGTCATTGTGCTGATTCTGGTGATGAGCAGTTTTCGTGCATCACGTTCATCCCTGTATAGCTGATATTGGGTGGCCAGATCCTCTTTTAGGTGATCAACCTGTGGGAGAGATACACATGAGTTTGTGTTTCATTATATATTTACTATTGTCATATATGCTTTATGGAAGCAGCAGTGTTGTGATTGTTAACGGCAACTAAAATTAAAATATTAACAACTGTTTTCAGCAACTGAAATAAAGCTTAAAGGGATAGTTCACCCCAAAATGAAAATTCTGTCATTAATTAGTCACCCTCATGTTGTTCCAAACCCATAAGACCTTCGTTCATCTTCGGAACACAAATTAAGATATTTTTGATGGAATCTGACAGCTCTCTGACCCTCCCATAGACAGCAAGGATCCTTACACGATCAAGGCCCAGAAACATAGCCATATAATCCATGTGACATTAGGGGTTCAACTGTAATTTTACAAAGCTACGAGAATACTTTTTGTGCGAAAAAAAAAAAAAAAAACTAGCGTCGTAAAATTACGGTTGAACCCCTGATGTCACATGGATTATTTTACAGATCTCCTTGCTATGTTTCTGGACCTTGATCGTGTAAGGATCCTTGCTGTCTATAGGAGGGTCAGAGACATGGGCGTCGCTAGGCCATTTTTAGGGGGCTATAGCCCCCCTAAAATGACCACTCAGCCCCCCTAAAAATTTTGCGATTAGCTCTATAAACTGTACACGAATGTACCTACTTAACCATATTTTGGGGACAAATGTGTACCCAAAAGTGAGCTAAACATGACAAAATCTTGAAAAACCTCCCTTTGGGGACATCCTCATTTGTAAAACTGGTATAAAAATAAAGTAAACAAAGTTTTTTTTTTTATTGTAAAAATGCAGAAAGTTTCCTGTAAGGGGCAGATTTAGGTGTAGGGTGATAGAATAAACAGTTTGTACAGTATAAAAACCATTACGCCTATGGAATGTCCCCATTTAGATAGCTAAGTAAATGTGTGTGTGTGTGTGAGAGAGAGAGATCAGGATTCAGGAAGACTTGTATGGCTTATTCAGTACTCAAATGTTATACCTATCTATGCAGTACAGTGGAATACAATAAGTTGCAAAATGCAAAGTTTAGTTTACCACCTTACCCTATTAGTCAATCTTTTTTTATTTTTATTTATATGTTTACTATTATTTTTTATTATTATACCCTCATTGGGGGCTGAGCCCCCCTAAAACGAAAATCTTAGAATCGCCCCTGGTCAGAGCTCTCAGATTCCTTCAAAAAATATCTTAACTTGTGTTCCAAAGATGAACGGAGGTCTTACGGGTTTGGAACGACATGAGGGTGACTAATTAATGACAGAATTTTCATTTTTGGGTGAACTATCCCTTTAAGTAAAGTTAAAAAAATATTATATAAAACCTTAGATTTAAAAAAAAAAAAAAACTTTTTGTATTTATTAGATAAAAAAACAAATTAACTAAAGTTTAAGTTTAACTACTAAAATGACTAAAACTGAAATAAAAATAAAGATAAATAAAAAACACTAAAACTATATAAAACTAATTTAAATTACAATAGCACATAACAACAATTACTAAAAATGAACCTAACTAAAAATAAAAAACAAAATTAAAGTATAACAATAAAATCAAATTCAACAACACTAGGAATCTTTCTAGTTTCACTCTCCTCCTCTATGAAATTTGTATGTGAATGACCTGCACCACTTGAGATGTAAATCAATGACCCATCGTTTGGCCCTGACAAGCATCTGCCGTAAACATTTCAATTAATTTCAAATTCAAACTGCATTCAAATGTTAATAAGATAGCCACATACTATGCTGAGAGAAACCACAACATAATATGATTAATTTCTCATAGAGAATGGGATCATATGATTCCATATAAAAAGCTTTCCCATATTGTAGCCTATTGAGAGGTCATGCTTGTCATTAACCGATATACTGTACATTTCATTCAAATACTGACAAAACATCCTTTAACCACTTAGAATAGTGAATAATCCAAGGTAGCCAGATCTCTACAAAAGGACAGACATAATAAATGAACTGCACCTGAATCTGCAGAGCAGTCTGTTGTCCTCTCATACTCTCGATGACACGCTGCAGACGCTGACAATCTCGCTTCATAGCTTGGAGCTCATCTCTTTCCTGTACTCTCTGATCCAGAATCCTCTTCTCACACTGTTCTGACACAAGCACCAGCTTTGCCCGCAGCGGTAGCAGATCCCTGATCTGTTCACGAAGATGTGCTGGGAGAGACATTAACACTTTGATTAGTGACATCTCATCTATTATTTTCCTCATGACTTACTATTGACCAATTGAGTTCCATTAACATTTTATTTGACATGATATTAAACAACTTAGTTAGCTACAGTTAATTTTAAGTGTTTTGCATTACTACACATTTTTGTTTAATACAATACTGATATAATTAGTAACATAAAACTAGAAATGGTGGTAGCCTGCTAGCACAAAGATTTAACCCCCCAAAAAATAACTAAAAAGATTGCACATACCTAACGTGACGTCATACTCATTTTTGATGGCAGAGAAAATAGGCTTATAGGTTTTAAATTCTTCAATTAAATATCCAAACACCTCCTGGAAAACCTTTATAAGGCAGGGAAAAAGCAAGGAAATAGTTTCTTAAATACTAGTATTGAAAAACACTTATATATCATATATAT